ATTCAGAAAATGATCAGCTGATACACATTTAGGACAGTATCCTTTTGTACTTTGGTTTGACCAGTTGACTCTGTTGTCGACCATTTGAAGCATTTTGTTGAGTGTAGAATGTTGAAGCAGAACTTGCTTCCTTACTGTGTTGGCTGGAGATATCTGTACATCGAGATATTAAACTATCAAACTTACTGGAGTCACTTTTAGGCACTGCTTGATGAGATAATCTTTTGGCCCTTGATTTCAGGTGAAACCACTGGTCAAGATGGGTCAAATTGTATGATACAGTAGAACCTGAATCATACAGTCCCTGTTTGATACAGTACTCTGTAAAGTTATCACGCATACCATGGGGAAGATTGGTGATCAAAGTTCACACATGACGCGCTGTCACAGTTCTGCTCTGCTCTGCATAGATTTCAACATCCCAAATAATGACTGTATATGCAAGGCAAAATTCTCAAAGGCATCCTAATCCCCAAACTTAATCGGTGGACTGTTAAGCAAGGCACTTATCTCATTCTGAATCAGTTGGCCTGCACTACCATATATGCGTTGCAACTCCTGCATAGCTCTTGTATAAGGTGTAGGGTTAAACATGAAGGCCTCGGCAAGCTGTCTTGGTTTATTCCCAAGTTTGTCCAATAATAGTTGATACTTGTATGATTCAGTCAGGTGAGGGTGTACATCAACTAAGGTCTCAAGTGCCATCTTCAGTAAGATAAAGTCTCGTTCCTTACCACTCTTGAACTCTGGTAGAGTAGGTTTAGGAATTCCATACACAGAGGAAATCAGCATTGCATTCATGGGCAAATCAGCACTGGTAGCACCTGAAGCAAGTTTGGGCTGAGGTACATCAGCAGGTGATGGATTAACATGGAAATCCTCATTCTGTCTGGGTACAAATAAGTGAGCACTTGGATCAAGGCTGTGATTTTGGCCTACATGTGAATGTTCAATTTCATGTTTGATATGTCTATTGGAGGGTATTGGTGCACATTGATCAATAATTTCCTTGGGGGTATGTTACCTCAGTGTTAACTTCTCTGGGATTGGATGTCTCACTGACATCTGGCTCTTTCATCCTATCACCATGATCCCCACTGTCAATCATAGATGAAATTAACGTTGCCTCTATATACTTGTTCTCAGCTTCTCTTAAATTTCTTTCTTTAGTTATCTGTAACATCCTACTTTCTTTTCTCTTTCTTGATAGTCCTCTCCATTCTCTCTAACTCATGTCTAGTTTCAGATGCTTTATCCTCCATATGCTTAATGTGAACAGCTATCTCTCTTTCTTCCTCTAACTGTTTCTTAAGTTCATCAAGTTCATGTTTTCGTTTCACCGTCTCAAGTTCGGCAGTTTGCCTATCACTCAGCCTGGACAAAACGGACAAACTAGTTGAATGTGCTCTTCCTACACTTACTTCTGAACGAGTAGTCATTATTTCATCAAGTTCATAATTCATGTCAACAACATAATCTGACAAAAGGGCAGGTGGTCGTCTGCGTCTGGACGAAAACCGGACAGGGCGCCCATCTTCCGAGCGTGGCAGTGTTCCACCGGGCATATCATAGTCATCATCGTCAAAGTTCATAATTAGGCAAGTACTTACACAATCCATTTCATGGGACCATGAAAAGAAGACCAGAAGTTGCCGGTAGTTAGTGTAAGTGTTTACTGGCATTCATGTTTCATTACAGGCATTTCCGGCATTTGCTTGAGGCAAAATTACCTCACTGTCAACCCACGGACAGCACGTGGTTACATAACAAATATACATGTACAAGAGCAAAGGAAATCGGGTGCTTCTGCTGGGTGTATGTAACTGTTGAACTGGCAAAAAAGGGAAAAGGCTTAATTCCCTTATCATAATTAAAACTCAAAATAACAAAATGCATTACTTTCTGACAACTTCTACAACGTAATCGTCTTGGAGTACTCTCCAATTCTTCCAATAACGTCCCTGGTGTCCACCCACAATTGACGGTTCTACAGGAACGACTGGGGCTTGGAAGGGACCAGTCGATTCAAACCTGCTCTTCAGTACCGAGATCTTTGTGCGGCCCCGTAGGAACAACCTCGGCCGGAGTATCTTCTAGTGTTGTTGGAACGACAAAAAGACCCCGAGTATCCGCCCCGTGACGCCAGAAACTTCTTCTCTTTGGACCATTGGATGCCCGGGAAACGGGATCGTAGATGACTTCGTTGAGACGACTGCCAATATATGTTATTCATAGTCTGGACCAACTTGATTAACATCAAGTCCTTTGAGTTCACAGGATAACTGACTGATGCCACCGTCAAATAAGGTAGGTGCCGCCCAGGACTTCCTCAGGAGACGCTTTGTGTAGACGTCCGGCCACATACAGGAGCTTAACAACCCCTGTCGACATAGTAGTGTAATACCTGCCGACGTAGAGGCCAAGTGATCCGAGATAAACTCATGATCTTCACGCTGCATAGCAAGTGTAGACAGGATCATCCGCTCCTCTTCCGTTCTAGGATTCTTAAAGACGTTTAAGAGCGCCTCGTTAATTGCCCTGGATCTTGCTAACCCGAAGAAAGCCCTCCGGGTTGTCGTGTTGGGCCAACTTCTTATCTTCGACTCGGTAGCTTCATGACTTCACATCGCAGGCCAGGTAGAAGTCTTCATCTACCTCAGGCGCCTTCATAAAATGGTCCATGTTGTGATGTCGAAATCATCGTTCGGTAAACGGAGGGGTATGTTGCCCCTGAGTCCTCGAAGCCTTACCAAAGGCTGCCTTCAGGTTGTCTGCTACTTCCGAGATGGGCTTCATCGGCGGGATGGTGATCAACTCAAAGTCGTCACCCCGCATGCAGTATGTCTCGGCCGGGTTGGATGTCTTTGTCGGCGATGATTTCGGGAGGCCGTCAGCCTCCCAAGACAGCACTTCAGTATCAGGATGGATATATGCATGCGCCATCAGCGTGCTGTTCTTCTTCAAACGCCCGATCCCGGATGTGTGTCTTCAATGTTGGTTGCTGATACTGCGGTACAAGGCCTTCTCGCCGTTGCCCGTAGAGCTGCTGCGAGATAACTAGTTGCTTGGATATAATGCGCTATATAAATATCCTATAATAATAATACAGTTTAAGCTATCTTCACGTTGCCCTGGATAGACATCTGCTTCTGCTGGATGTCTAATTTCTTTTCCATAGCCTGATACACCCGGCCGGGTGATCACATCAACAAAGTCTTCAGCATAGTAGTCTTCATCGTTGATTCGAGACCACTTCTGAGTGACAGCTGTCACAGTCTCATCGTCCGGACATTGTCGGCCGATGTAAGCGTTCAAACGCTAACAGGTTCTCCGTTGACATCTCTGCTTCTGCTGGATCAATTGTGCCCTCGATTGACTGCCCCTCAAAGGGAGCAGCGATCCCGGCGAAGACTGCAAGGATGACTGCAATCCTCTCGGTGATTGCTGCGAACAGACATGACTTACCGACCTCGTAGACTTAATCTAGAGGAATGCCTGGACGAAGAGGACTGCTTCGCTGACGATGTTGACCTGGTTTTCGGTATGCTTCGATGGTGTCTCTGCTGGAGAGGACTTCCTCTTACCTGAGGTATGTACTGTTACCTCTGCCAGCACGTGAGATGGCGCAGACTTTGACTGGGACCACATCATAGACACGGGATACGGCGAACAGGCGACGTAGTCCGCAACAAAACTCACAAGGCCAGTGACTGCCTCATCTTGACACAGGCTAGCTGGACCTGACAACAGCTTGTGTAAGTTTAGTTTCAAATTCACATGTCAAAAATTTACAAGTCAATAATCACATGTTATAAGTCAATAATACATTTTTAAACCCCACGCAAGGTTATAAAAATATGCATATTATGTGATTATACACAAAACAACAACATCAAACCAATATACAGCAGTAAAAGAACACCAGGGTGTGAGTCAAGCGCTGTACGTGATGTGGTCAATGTTTACATTCGCAAAATTAAACAGACAGTCACTTCGAACGGAGTGAAAAACGTAAGTTAACTGACAAAATTTATAGAATATTTGTTGCAAATATGATGAATAATATTGCTATAAAGGCATTCACGGCAGAATTTGAGTTATTTATCCAAAGTTAGAAGAGATATAAGCCGAGAAGGGACCCTGAGAAACCGACCAACCGTCCGCTTGGGCGATAGAGGAGAGAGTGAGGTTTGAGGAGTGCGCGGATCACGTGGACGCTTTTGGCGGGAAAAGGAGGTAGCTCAGGGTGGGTGATTGTACGTTCGCTTCAAGGGAATTTTGAAGGGATTCAAGTTTCCACATAACCGTTCGGAAGAGGGGAAAGAGAAAGTAAATAAGCATGAGTCAGGATATGGAAAAATAGTATTTTGTGTGGGCAGGTAAGTTTTGGTCAGGGCTGGCAAGTTTTACATCTAACCTGCCCTGTGGTCTGGCTGAAATTTTTGGGAGTTTCATACCCTGCAAGAACATATCTGACATTACACAATGGTCGCACATGCACGCACGCACGCACGCACGCACGCACGCACGCACGCACGCACGCACGCACACACACACATATAATGACTAATGTGAATCTTTGATGAATCATTATCTTTACTGCGGAATAGTACCACTGTAGGCTACTGTTTTCAAATTTTCAAACAAGATCATGACCAGTCCAATGTACTGAGTAGTTTCCATACCAGCAAAACTTACAGAAACACTGACTAAAGAACATATGCTATGTATACATTGCTTGTAACTTTATATACCTTACTTGAATATGTCAGCCGCACAGAAAGCATGTCAATCACCTGAATCTGTTAGATGCTAAATGCTATGTGCTGACACCAAAATGAAATGAAGAGAACAAACAAGCTTTAGATCAAATTAGCACACCAGGTTTTCCATTGTATCAAGACATTACAATATTTCATTGTGGGGCAATAAATGCAAACTTATAAATCACAGCTGTAAAGTGCACTAATATATATTTTGACCATCAATATTGCTTTTACCTGAAGCACTTAGTTCTGAGTTGAAACCCACAGTTCCATGGCTTTTATCTACACTCTGCACAGAAGAGCCCACCTTTGGCTGAGTGGCATGTTGGGAACTTGTACATGGCTGGAACATCTGTTTAGTCTGAGGACTGGTGCATTGAGGCACCCGTGAATATATGACATCATGGCTGCCATCATCTAATTTAAGACGTTTTGGCAAGGTAGGTTGGTCTTCCTCTGTGTTCCCCGACAAATTTGTCTTGGAACATCAGTTGGACTTTGTGTCTGAGGAATAGAAGGACCTTGTGTGACATTCTGAGGGACTTGAGTTGTGTTGGAGTAGGACCTGTGTTGGAGCACCAGTAGGACCTTGTGTTGGAGAATCAGTAGGACCTTGTGTTGGAGCATCAGTAGCCCCTAGTGTTGGAGCATTAGTAGCCCCTAGTGTTGGAGCATTAGTAGCCCCTGTGTTGGAGCCAGTAGGACCTTGAGTTGGAACATCAGTAGGATCTTGTGTTGGAGAATCAGCAGGACTTTGAGTTAGAGCAATAGGAGGACTTAGTGTTGGAGAATCAGGAAGACTTTGAGTGTCAGAATCCAGACAATCATCCTCTGACTCATACCAATTGTAGAAATCCCCGTCAGAGTCATTTGGATCCATTTTGGATGTCACTTATTCATCAGCAGATGAAACTGGATATCAGATGTTGTTGACATGGTCACCTAAAAATATTTCAAATACCGGTACATAGATACAGACACGTTAATCATAGCAGGTACAATCTCAAGTTATATGTTCCATGTAGCATATGAAGCATTATAACTGAGTTAAACAAGTTAAAAATTGTTAGCAAGGCTCACCAATACCCCTAATCGTGACTCCACGCTTCAACTGTTCAACAATTAGTAAACATTATTCTTTCACCTGATGAAGGGACCTGGAATGGTCTCGAAACGTCGTGAGAGAAATTAAAAAGAAGTTTAATCCATAAAAATATCTTGGACAAGATATCTTGACAAAAATACAAAATATCTATCAAACATTGCACTGCACCTTTCCTATGAACAATGACCATTACCCAAATCTGAAAACAATCCATTAAATGTCTGTAAAGTTATTGGTTGAATAATTTGATGTGGAACTTTTCTCCCAAGTTCAGGAGATGTACTTTGTGACAATTCTCCATTTATTTAAAATATCAAAATATAACTTTGCTCTGCGCCTCTCCTATCAACATGGAAGGTGATCCCAAAATTTGAAAACTATCCACTCAAAAGTGTTCAATTGTTCTCTGAGCTTCTTTACCAAAACAAGATTTTGTTTGTATAATAAACCAAATTCCAGATATTTTCAATTGCTAAACATACTAGTTGACATTGCTAGGAGTGCAACATTTGGCTGTCATGAAAATGGGTCTTGTCAAACAGTATAAACTCTAAGTCATCAATGCAGTGATGAAGATAACTCAAACATACATGCCAATAAAATATTGCCAGTAACATATAATACCATCACCATGATTACATCATACACAAATGTTTTTGTCTCTAAATAATTCAAGTTTATGCATATGGTCATATGTGATGTGTTCCGCAATTCCATATTATTGTTTTCTGCTATTTGTTGATGTATTTTAGTATGGGAAATTTCTTTTGGAAGTCACCTCCCTTTGGCCTAGTTATTGCCAAGAGTGTTTGGCGAGCCTACCAGCTTCAAGCATACACACTAAAGACCTGAGTTCGATTCCCCACATGGGTCTAATGTGGGAAGCCCATTTCTGGTGTCCTCCGTCGTGATTGCGTAAAACTAAACCCACTCACACACTCACTTTGTTTCCAAGGGCATTTGACAGTTAAACTTAACAGGAGCCCATTACTTTGCAACAACAAAACCCAGCAGAGGAGTGCACCTGCCAATTGTGACCCGAACAAACACTGCAGTCAGGGTGCAGACAGCCACACTTCAAGCAAAGGTCTGAAACTGGAGGCATGACAGGCACTTCTGTCTGAAAGCCTCAATGATACAGACTGTGAAATCTAAACCAGATAGATAAAGAAATGGTCACAGATGATCACAACTGTGAAATCTAAACGTAGATGATTACAAGACTGTGAAATAAACCTAGATATGTAAAGAAATGGCCATAGGAGACTACAAGATTGTGAAGACATGAAAATGAGCTTTGAAATAAATTGATTCCAAGTCAGATCACATAACTCACATGGAATTACTATCAAACTTCACCTTACAGGTAATTAGTCTCGTTTAATTGTGTAATTCCATTTCACCATCCTCCCTTAGGGGTCACGTGAGATGTTTAGAGTAGATGCAAATATTTTGCACCCTATATCCACAACAACTATATATATATATATATATTTATATATGTATAACACATGTTTATACCAAGAATCTTCAATGTAACACAGGTTACAACTGGTTTGCAGCATTTAAAACATTTTGGCAGAAATAAGTAAAGTGAGTGGCAGGTTGTAATGTCTTCTAAACGAGGATGTTTTGCTACCTGCCGTCCTCAGAATTGTGTGGAGCGGCAGCATACACCTCGATGCCGCGCTAGTCGCAGCAGATCGCACACTATGTGGTTTAAATATGGCTCGTCCACCCGAAGCTCTCACTATCAGCTTCACCCATCTGCTAATTGTGTCTTTGCACACTGCCTTGTGTGGCCGTTGAAGTCCAATAAACATCTGGGGCTCATTACCCCTAATGGCTTGGGTCCTGCCTAAATATGCACGAATATTTTCCACAATGCATAATCTATCATCCTCAGGGTAACTAAAAAACTAGCTCTCCTACATGGTAACTACATCTAGATTGTTTCAATAAATCGCCTATTCTAATAACTAAATGGTTACTTCTAAATTCTACATTCTCTACATGTAGTAAATGCGCAGTTTGAACTCGCTGTCCAGAGGTAAGCACAAAAGAACAGCTGAACGGATAAAAGGTCTTTTAAAGGTATGTCCTGTGATTTTCCATAGTTCTTCATTGAACACAACACTTCCTCAACGTCCCACATGACGGAATAACTCGGCAGTGAGGGTCTTAAATGAAACACGCCTTTCATAAGATGTTTTACGAAATGATGTTGTCCTAGCGGCGTGTCGTCTATGGTGACAATGGATGATAAAGCTGACCTTGCTGTACACAAACCACTGTATCCTAGGCCACTGTGAATCGCCATGAGGAGGATCAGGTCACCACGAGACATAATTTTTAAACTTGTAATTGACCCGGGATGCACAGAGGTCACGTTGTAAATCTGGATACCCTCGTTTAATTGCGTTAAACACCTCGTCAGCCAGTGACCATTCTTTGTCCCGCCAATTAGTGTCACGTGACTCGCGGTCAGCTAAGGTATTCTGGGCAGCTGGCAAAAAGGCAGCAGAAACCCAGAGATTTCTGTCGATGCACCAGTCCAATAATGATCTAACTTCCTCATAACAGTTTAATTTGCTACGGCCTTGTTTATTCACATATGCCACGGCTGTCGTGTTGTCAATTAACACTCTTACGTGTTGATAATAACGCAAGGAACACAAACTTTGAATAGCAAGCTTGGCAGCTCGGATTTCAAAACAGTTTATGTGTGTCTGTTGCTCCTCTGCTGACCAGCCTCCCCCAGTTGTTTGCCCTTCGCACGCCCCTCCCCAGCCGGTGAGGGACGCATCGGAAGATAACTCTATCTCTGGGTCAGGGGTATAAACAGGGGTTGGTAGCTTCCCTATGTTGTTTATCCACCAGTTTAATTCAGGAATAAACACAGGAGGCATATCAACTCTAGCATCAAAATTTCCTTTATGTATGTATCACATGCAGTATACAGTATATCAAGTGCAATATACTGTATACCACATACACTATACGGCGTGCCACGTGCAGTGTGCGCTGGGCGAACTCCCAGTGTCGTAACACTGATCGCCTCCCCCTTTCCCCTTAGCAAACACCGCATTGGGGATGTAACGAGGTCACAGGTCAAGCACGTACTGGTCAGCTGTTTGGCCAGTGGCCTGATAATGGGTGCAGGATTTAAACATACTCTTGAAATTCTGACACTGTGGCTTTCTGCTATGGTCTTATTAGGTCAAGAGTAGGATGATCCTGATGACCACTGCACGAGAGGCATGTGGGTTGTGGACGAGGTTCCACATGGTCTTGCCATAATACCATTTCAGGAAGACAGATTATCAGACTTGAGATATAGTCAAACTAATGAGCGTTGGTTAGTTAGTTTGGAACTGGGAGCTGAGCACTAAGCTCCTAGTTAAACACAGCTCACAATAAAACGTTGTGGACCCGCAGACGGACTTGTGTTGTCACTTTGAGGTATATCCGCCAACACACAACAACCAACACCTACTACAACAACAACATAGTAGTAGACAACCTGAAACGTCTACGGACTGGTGTTGCTACGGCGGATATATTGGTGGAGACAAGATCTTCGGTACCTCCAAGCACCAAGCACGAAGCAAAAAGAAGTTATATCAAGACAAAGTCTTAGGTCCTGGGGCTCCACAACAACAGCAACAACAGTCTCAACAAAGAACAACAACACGCAACAAGGCATTCTCAAGGTATTCTGTGTGATCTGTGCTTTCGTCATTGTATTTTCATCATTATCATCCGTCCTCGAAGCCTTTGTGATTACCCCAGTGATCATCACATGACCACCCCATTGCTGTTTCTTGGACTTGGAAACCCGAACATATACCAGACAAACTGTAAGTGGAGCGGAGAATCCAGCTTCTTTGGCCTGCACCAAGCCCCCTGTGTACAGTTTTCACAAATACCTTCAGAACGGATCAGCAACAACTCTGTGACAGGGATCGGCGATGACCACGTCATTACCTGAACTTTAGAACTCTCTGCTCAACTGCCTTACGGTGTCTTGGCAGAATAACCTACCGAACACTTCTCAGGACAATAGTGACATTTGTTTTCAAACAGTGTGTTTCTTATTTAATTCTTTGGAACGCTGTCGGTAAGAAATCTTTTCTGTTACCATTTTGTTTGCATTAAACATGGATGTTCTTTATGACCCATAGGGCTTTCCATACAGCCCGATAACATCAGAATTTAACTCCTGCTCTTCAAGAGCGCCTGCTGAACGCCAACCGACCCCACCTCCAACCACATCCAATACACGCCAGCCCTGCGTCACATCCATATTGCATTTTCTTTTGCTATTGTGCATATGGACATACTTCACAATTATTGTACACAGTTAAACACCTTCTTTTAACACCACACATATACACAATGCATCAACTCCGTTCACCGCCTCGGTACATTAATATCTACTCCCATTTGAGAGAACTCCCAGTTGTGAGACTCCTAGTTATGAGACAGTGGAGTAGGTAATTAACAAGGAAAACACACCATACTCCCCTGTCTGATAGAATGGATTCACCCTAGCTAATTACTGATTTGCTATGTAACTGAATCTTGTCGAGGTAACTTAATGAAACTTTATAAGATAAATTGATTAACATACTCATGTAAATGTCTTTAATAATTTAAACACTTTGTGTAGGTAACTTCGTGATCAAAGAGAAATTAATTTACCTACTCAGATTTACTCCGTCTGCGAAACTACAAGCTATAGTTTAAGAAATAACTCTGAAATACAAGGAATT